TATTTATTTTTTAGTTCTCGGCGGACACAACATCTTTGTTGGTATGTGGTGCTGAGGATCGAACCCGGGCCGCACGCATGCCAGGCGAGTGCGCTACCGCTGAGCCACATCCCCAGCCCCAAGCAAAGCTTTTTATTTAAAAAATTTTTCCTTTATTTTACTTTGATTTTTATATGGAAAAACAAACCAGAAAGCCAAGAAGAAATTTTCAAGTGTGTTGCATTGCTCTATAAATTCTGAAGAATAAATGGTGTTGATTTGGACCTTTGGCATTATCAACACTAGTCTGTTCCCCTCTCTGTGGAATGCAGTTTAAGAAGAGCATACTGCAGTGGCACACACCTATAATCCCAGCACCTTGGCAGGCTGAGACAGGAGAATCATGAGTTCAAAGCCAGCCTCATCAAAAGTGAGGYTCTAAACAACTCAGTGAGACCTACATAAAATACAAAATAGCGCTGGGGATGTGGATTGGTGGTTGAGTGCCCCTGAGTTCAACCCCAGGTACACCCTGCCCTCCACCCGTCCCAAAAAGAAAAGAAGAACATATTGTTATTCTGCACATCCTGAACATAAAAGAAAAAATATATTAGGTGTTTCCCAAGTATTATTGCAATGAATCCCTACAGTAGCCCTAAATAGCCTTAATAATCCCATTTTGGGGGCTGGGATTGTGGCTCAGCAATAGAGTGCTCGCCTAGCACAGGCAGGGCCTGGGTTCGATCCTCAGCACCACATAAAAATAAAGGTATTGTGTTGTGTCCATCTACACCTAAAAAAATAAATATTTTTTTTAAATAATCCCATTATGAAAGAGGAAATAAAATCTTAGAGACATTGCTTTTCATTAAGTAATAATGAATTTGAATTTGGGTATTTCTGACTCTAGGGTCTATGCTTCTAACCATTTTATCTAAACTGACTTTCATATGCCATGCTACTTCTCAGATTGATTTCACACTATTTCTGGCGGTATAGTAGTCTCCTAGTTAAGTATTAGTAGATCATTCACAGATGGTTTATGCCCTCAGTCAATTTTCTTCACCAGCCTAATGTCAGATATCAAGCCTATCCTGATTCCACCTCTGTTTTCCTATCCAAGGTGGCCCAGTACAACTTTTTGCACCATTCGTTTTTGTTATTGCCTCCTTTCCCTACCAGTGCAGTCTGGTTTTGGCTAACTCAAAAAAAAGTGTTGATACATTAGATGTTTCTTGATTTAATGTTTCAAGTAAAACTTTATAAGAAAAGAGCTGATGAACAAGTTTTCATGTTTTATTTTCCTCTAAGTATTCTATTTTCTTGCATTCTTCTTTGAATCTTAGAATTAAGTAATTTTTGAAAAGACAATGTACATAAAAATGCCAAGTAACATAAATAGTTCTAACAATTGTTAGTTCACCTCCCTAAACCTGCCCTTGACTAGTAACTGCTTTTTTTGAGCCCCCTGTAAAAGTTAATGCAAGATCACAAATTTTCTATGAGCCCCCTGAAAAAAATTAATGCAAGATCACAAATTTGATTCTTTTTTTTTAATATTTTTTTAGTTGTTAATGGGCCTTTATTTTATTTATTTATATTCACTGCTGCGAACCAAACCTAGTGCCTCCAACAAGCTAAGCAAGTGCTCTACTACTGAGGTACAACTCCAGCCCCCCACAAACTTAATTCTTTATTTCTAAGATCATATTTTACCACCAAAAATAGAAAGAAGATTATAAGGTTAGTGACAGTTGCAGTCATTATTAAGGGAAATCTTTGGGCTTCTGATTTTTTTGCAAGGGAGGTGGTACCAGGGACTGAACTCAGGAGCACTGAGCCACATCCTGAGCCCTATTTTGTGTTTTAGTTAGAGACAGGGTCTCACTGAGTTGTTTAGCACCTCACTGTTGCTGAGGCTGGCTTTGAACTCATGATCCTCCTATCACAGCCTCCCAAGCTGCTGGGATTACAGGTGTGCACCACCACACCTGGCTGGGCTTCTGATTTTTAAATAATTCTCTTTATGCATTCTTTCTCATACTTTTAATTAGAAGGGACATTCAGGGGCCTTGGCTATAGCTCTGTGGTAGAGGGTATGTTTAGTATGTACTAGGCACTAGGTTCAATACATCAGCACTAAAAAAAGTAAGAGGAGGCATTCAGAATTTAGTCAAACCTGTCCTTTAGAGTCTCTACTTGGTTATCATCTAAAAAAAGCAGTTACTAGTCAAGGGTGGGTTTAGGGAGGTRAACTAACAATTGTTAAGAACTATTTATGTTACTTGGCATTTTTATGTACATTGTCTTTTCAAAAATTACTTAATTCTAAGATTCAAAGAAGAGTGCAAGAAAAGAGAATACTTAGAGGAACATAATGAAAAGTGAATAAAAACCCCATCATATATATTTCTGTAGGATTTACAAGACCAGCTAGAGGATATGATGGAAGATGCAAATGAAATTCAAGAAGCACTAAGTCGTAGCTACGGCACCCCAGAATTAGATGAAGATGACCTGGAAGCAGGTAAGTTATAAGACAAACAATGTATATATAGCTTTAGAATCTGAAAGGAACAACTTCCTGGAATCTCTCTCCAAATACTAGTAAAAATTTCTATCTGGATTCTCTAAGAGTTAGTCTCTGGGCAAAGAACTTATGAGGCACCTGCGTCAGACTTGCATACTCCACCAGCAACACTGGTGAGCCTGAAGGAAAGTCCAGCAAAAGCCGACATGGTACAACTATCAGTGTCCTCAGCTTAACCTTTCCTTGCTATTTTCATTTTAATTTTGTTCTCCCCATTTTCCTACTTGGAATCGACTCCCTCGGAATAGCAAAGTAAATTAAGAACTAATAGTTGGCAAATACTTAGTGAGCATCTACTATGAATCAGGCACTGRGCTAGGTGCTAGGGATTCAGTATTGAAGAAAACAAATATGATCTCTCCATTCATGAAGCTTCTCCACTAACACTGGGAGAAATATAAACTGCCTGCTTCAAGTAATCAATTAGTTATAAGGGCACACACTATTAGGAAGAAGGAGATACTGTGAGAGCATGTAGCATGCTTACTAGTTAGGGACAGGCATGGGACTTAAAAAATGAGAAGAATGTTGAGTGCCTTTAGGGGGAAAAGTCTAGAAGCTATCATTATAATTGTGTGAAAGATGAAACTAGGTATATTAAAKAACCACTATATACTAGATTTTCTATGGCCTGATTTCCCTGTCATGTTACTGTTTTTTTTTTCTCTCTCTCTCTCCATGTTCTATTTTTGCCTAGATCCTTTTTCTTTCTTGCATTCATCCCTGCCCCCCCCCCCCGCCTTGATTTTCCCATGATGAGTCTCTACCTACTATTGTCATTCTTTCTGGCTAGCCAGGCATGGAGGCGCATACCTGTAATCCCTGCAACTCATGAGGATCTCAAGTTTAAAGCCATTCTAAGCAGTTTAGTGAGGCAATAAAGCAATTAGTGAGACCCTGTCTCAAATTTTAAAAAATATAAAGGTCTGGGGATGGGCTCAGTGGTTAAGCACCCCCAGGTTCAGTCCCTAGTTTCCAAAAAAAATCTCCTGACTATTTCCAATTCTTTCACCATAGACAGTTCTAGACCCTGATTTCGTATAATGGTCATGCAATATACAACAATCTTATGCCTCCTTTCACTACTTTCTTTTCAAGTCCAACAATTAATGAGAGAGAAATTTTTAAAAAGTAAATAAAAAGGCTGGGGGCCAGGCGCAGTGGTGCACACCTGTAATCCTAGTGGCTCGGGAGGATGAGGCAAGAGGATCACAAGTTCAAAGTCAGTTTCAGCAAAAGTAAGGCACTGAACAACTCGGTGAGACACTGTCTCTAAATAAAATACAATATAGGGCTGGGGATCAGTAGTTGAATGCCCCTGAGTTCAATCCCTGGTACACCCGCAAAAAGCGGGGTGAGGTGGGTACTGGGTATGTAGCTCAATGGTAAAGTGTGTCTGGGTTCAATCTCCAGTACCCTCTCCCCTAAAATAGGGAAACCCTGCAAGTTTGTGGAGAAATGGTTGTTTTATTTTTTCCTTTTTGCTTTTCATAGATTTTACCATATTAGTTTTCCTGAAAGTTTCTTGTAATCTTCATCTTTTATTTTGTATTCTTGAATTTTAGGATTTTCGGGGGCGAGGAGTAATCCTTTTCCCTTTGTATTTAAATTTTCATGTTATTGCAAATCATTTCACTAAATTATAAACAGCTGTCAATTTTCTTACTTTTTTTTTTAAATGTTGATTATTTTAATTTCAGAGTTGGATGCACTGGGTGATGAGCTTCTGGCTGATGAAGATAGTTCTTACTTGGATGAAGCAGCATCTGCACCTGCAATTCCAGAGGGTGTTCCCACTGACACAAAAAACAAGGTTAAAGCCTTTTCTGCTTATATTTCTATACAACATAGAAAAGGTTTTATGCCCACCAGTCTGGGAATACGAAAGGTAGTCTTAAGTTAGAACAAGAAAAGAAAGTCCTGGTCATTATTTTGGAAACCCTTGAAAGCTCAGTTTTCCTACTTAACACAACGTACAGGCTGCAAAATAGTGCCAGTGAGACCAGAAGTGTCTCTATACAGAGACAATTTCTTTTTTTTTTTTAATATTTATTTTTTAGTTGTAGATGTTTTTTCATGTGGTGTTGAGGATCGAACCCAGTGCCTCACATGTGCTAGGCAAGCACG